AGAATGCAATGTTGGCTCAGGTCTTCATGCGCCTGGACAAGGTCACGTAGCGGGGACCAGGTGCCCTGTTCAACCGCAAATAGCAATGGGGGTCCATAGGGCTTGCTCATCAAAAGTGCCAAGTCCTTTGGTTGAAGTCCTGAGCTATGTGCATTGGCATCAGCACTCGCTGAATGATGTGAAGTGCTCATCACCTGACATGTGTTGCGTTCAAGGTGTGTTGCAAAACTTCTCCAGGTACGAAATGAAACATGACAATGTGAGCAAATTGGAAGTCCATGTAGTGCAAAAGCAGCGATTGTGACCTGATGTGTGCGTAGCTGCGTGTATCCATGGATGTTGGTCTGATGGCGTCTCAAGTTGGGCAATGAGTCAAATGAAACAGAACACCATTCACAGGTGAATGTTGGTTGTGGCGCCTCGTCAGTCAAGTTAATGGCAAGATCCAACTGAGGGTCCTGGGCGTCCCATGCAGCTTGGATCAGATCTGTGAGACTGGAAAGATGCGTCCAATCAACGGTATGAAGGATGTCTTGTGGCAATAAAGCAGTAAGTCTCTGACACTGCATGCGCTGGAGCTGTTCCACCGAGTGGAGTAGCATGGCAAAAGGGTGCTTCAGCTGATTGTTCATGAGAAACTGAATGTTGTTTGTGCCTGTAATGTAGCTGTGATCACCAGCCACCTTGCGTAGCATGCTCATCATGAAAGTTGCCAGTTTAAATAAGCCTGTGAAAGTGATGTTGCTGGCAAACAAACCATATGTGAGTGTCGAATAAATGCAAGATGTCCACAATCTCAGCTTGGTCCGTCTGGTGATGGAACGGGCACATAGCCATTTGCGCAGTCTGGAGAATGCCGTGCGTGCAGCTTTCATGCGATGTTGCAACGTCAAATTTTCAGGCATGTTGTAAGACATTTGAACACCCAAATAGCATGCTGTGTTTTGGACAGGCAGTCTCGATTGTCTTCCGTCGCCACGTGGGATGTTGACATAAAAACCATTGGGGCCTTTCTGTACAAGTCTGCGCTGCAAGTCTCGAGGATTTGTGCCCCCAATGGATAGCAATAGCACAGACTTGGCAAGTGAGATCTGAAGGCCATGTTGTTCAATTGCATCCAATAACATCCCAAACTTGACAAGGTTCTGCATAAGTTCCTGTGTTGATCTAAAGATGGTGCCAGCGTGGATATCATCAGCAAACAGTGTCACAACCTGTTTGACCCATCGGACGCCCACTTTCTGTGCAAGGGTTTCCAGGAGCTGATTTGTGGAGGCTATCCACAGGATTGGGGCTGCTCGGCAGCCCTGTCTGATGCCGCAGGAGGTTGGGGTGGCTACAAACTCATTGTTATGTGTTGTGATGTAATGAGTGTCTCGATGCCATTCACTTAGAAGGGAAACAATTTGCTGATCAATGGGGAGAGTACGTAGATAGCAAAAAAGTGGATCCCTAGGAAGTTCATCAAAAGCACGAGAAATGTCCAGAAAGAGCTGTAGCCCACCACATACTGTAAGGGGCGCAACCCCTGCAGCACGTTGATGAACTGTGCGACGCTGGTTGCGTAGCAATGTCCTGGTGTCATGGCAGTGTTGTGAAACCCTGCGGATGGCATCACCTGCTGATCGGCGTTCAATGTACGCAAATTGGGGCCATGAAATAACAAGTGGATGCATGATTTGCTTGAATTTTCTGGTGAGGATACCTAGGACCGTTTTACCCAAAGGCTCCATGAGTGCTATCGCTCTCAGGTTAGCTAAGCAATGGGGAGGCTTATTGGGTTTGGAGAGGAAAGATATCCATGCATCACGCCATTGGGCAGGTATAAAAATGTTTGTTGATGTCCACCATGTTTGAAGCCATTGAAAAATCAAGAGGGCAGTGGTTTCAGAAACATTTTTCCAAAGTATTCCTGGCAAAAATGGAGGTGCAACAGATTTCACGGCCGGCAATCGCGCAATCTCGGCTGAGAGTTCTGCAATGGTAAAAGGCATCTGAATAATGGGGACCTGAGGTGTCTGTTGTACTGGCGGTCCATGCCAGTGAGTTCTGATGTAGTCCTGAGTTAATGTCTGTGCCTCCCATGATGACGCAGGAGTGCCATCAGCGCATCTTAATCGAATTTTCTTTCGTGGCTGTTTAGGGGAGTATCGATTAATTATTTGATGCATTTTAAAGCTATCATGGTTTATGGCAGCTTGATCAACCTCCCTCAGGAGTTCCTGGAGTTGCTGTTTTTTGAAAAGTTTTATCTGTTTTTGATGGAGTCGTTTGCATGTGAGGTAGCGTGTGAAATGAAACCATGTGCTGAAAAGATTCTGCAGCGTTGGAGTGGTTGGCAACAAGAGTAGTCTTCGATGAGCCCATTTTGATTCAATAATTGGATGGGGGTCTTCATTGGTACACCCAGATTTTTGTTTGGGAAACATTTGGAAAAAAGCCGGTTTGAGGGTATTGTGAAGATCATCAACAATGGTGTCAGGAGTGGATTGGTGGGAGTTGAAATTGGAAATTTGATCATTCATGGTGTTGATTAGGTGGTTCCATTGTTCAGTGTTTTGGTGCCAGGCTTCTCTGCACTGCATGCGTTGCTTAAAGGAGCATGTTTGAATTCCAGCTGCCTTCGTAAAGAAAAAAGGAATCTTTCGAACTGTACACATCATTGGAACATGCATGGCACCTCCTGTCGGGAGAAAGTCTGCATCAGGAAAATACTTGATTTGCTTTGCTGGTCCATCACTGTCAGCATGCCTCATAAGAAAAAAGTCAATCCGGGAAGCATGAATTCCGTTGCAAAAGGTCGGCGGTGCCTGGGATGTCCAACAGTTCAGTGCTGTCAGATCAAATCTGTGCAAAATTTCATGCAAGCGCGTGGCATCTCGATGTTTGCAGCCGGATTGTCGACTGTTCATCCAGAAAAAATCAGTGGTGCCTACATGATGTCCATCCTTACTAAGCTGACAGTTGAAATCGCCAGCAATGAGTAAAGAATTTCGATTAGGGATATTGCCAAGATACTGTTCAAGTGAATTCCAAAAAAGAGAACGTTTTTTCATGTTTGAAACACTGTGATTGTCAACAAATTGATAACAACATAAGAGATCAAATGCCCTGGCTCTGTAATGGATACGAAGATGGACGAGACGTCCAGTCATGATTTCAGTGAGTCCAATCTCAGTGTCTGGGGCAACCGTCTTATGTATTAAGATCAAAATGCCATCGCTTTTGTCCTCCTCCGAGCCACTATGTATGACATTCCAGAGAGGTAATTGCCATTCTGCACTGAAACTCCATCGTGTCTCTGTCATCACAATGAAGTCTGCCTCTTTTTGAAGCGCCCAATGTTGAATCTCTGCAAAACGGTCAGCTGAGAGCCCACCAACGTTCATCTGCAGTACATTCAGTCGATTGTGTGGAGAAAGTCTCCGATGTGTCACTGGTTGATGACGAGGTCTTGGTGGAGGTGCAGGTTGGCATCTCTGTCGGATCTGTGCTGGAAAAAAGTCATATGGAATCTGGCGTCCCTTGTACCAGGCATAGCCATCTTGAAGTGCTCTTTTGCAAGCTCGCTGAAGACTTCGTTTGGCAACCTGGCGCATGCCTGGTTGGAACGTCGGGCAGGTGACTGAGCCGTAGCCCACTGTTGGCACTTGGTCTTGTAATTTCACTGGGCTGATGTTATGAAGATCGGATGCATTGAATCCAGTTCTCATCTCCCTCCAAGACCAAGGGAGACAACCCTCACCCTGGTGTCTGTGAATGTCAAAGTCCATGAGGTCATGCATTGTATGTATAAATCCAGTTGTGTGACCTGGCATGACGCTCTTCTGTGGGGCCACCCCCGGATTTGGGACCGGGCTGCACCAACTGTTGTGAACTGAAGTGTCAACCAAGTTGAGGAACCAAATGAAGAGGATGAATCGCATGATGTGCCTGCTTCAGTGTAGTGAATGTGACCAAGGGAATCGTTGTCCAGCAGGGCCAATCCACAATCCAAATAAAATGATCAAAATTGAAAGCAAGAGAGCCAGGAAATAGGATGGTTGGGTCAATCAGACAGGGTGCCCAGCCCTAATGGAATGCACAATGACCAGAAGGCGAGCGCCAGGAGTCACCCTGAAATGATAAAATGGCTTGACCAGCCCCAATAGCGTCACGGTCGAAACAAGGAACGTGGGCCCGGCAACCAAACCTAGGTTTCCTCAACCTTGATCGCACCACTCGAGGGTGCACAGGGCTTAAGTGTGTGTGTGTGTGGGTGGGTGTGTGTGTGGGTGGGTGGTGTGTGTGTGTGTGGGTGTGTGTGGGTGTGTGTGTGTGTGGGTGTGTGTGTGTGTGTGAATGTCACCAAGTGTCTTTTGCGCGTGTGTGTGTGTGTGTTGTTGTGTTGTTGTGTTGTTGTGTGTGTGTGTTGTTGTGTGTTGTGTCTGTTGGTGTGTGGGTGTGTGTGTGTGCGTGTTGTGTGTGTGTGTTGTTGTGTGTTGTGTCTGTTGGTGTGTGTGTGTGCGTGTGTGTTGTGTGTGTGTTGTGGTGACAAAGTGTATGTTGATAAAGCGTGTGTGGACAAAGTGTTTGTGGACAAAGTGTTTGTGGACAAAGTGTGTGGTGACAAAGTGTGTGTGGACAAAGTGTGTATGTTGATAAAGCGTGTGTGGACAAAGTGTTTGTGGACAAAGTGTGTGGACAAAGTGTGTGGTGACAAAGTGTGTGTGGACAAAGTGTTTTGGACAAAGTGTTTGTTGATAAAGTGTGTGTGGACAAAGTGTGGAGGAGGGCGGAGGAGGAGAAGGCGGAGGAGGAGCCCGGGATACAGAATCAAAAACAAGAACCCCACACAAAGATGTGGGGAAAAAGACTTCTCATCCCAATCCATTAAAACAAAGATCATAAAGATCATCACAACACTTGGTCATTGGTTTCAACCATGTTTAACTAAAGTTTAACCCTTTTCCCCATCAAAAACTGGATGGAATCCCAAGGACTCAGCGGATCGTCGCCAGGTCAATCAGCTGCTGGAGAGTTATGCAGATCGATCCTGGGCTCTTTTTTTTGGGAGGTCTCTTTATGGGTCTTTATGGAGGTCTGTTCATGAAGAAAACCCATAAAGAAAAGGGCCATCATTCCATGATTCCATGATCCAAGAACTTATTTTTTGGTGATGGTAAATGTTCCCTGGATACATCAAAGAGACTAATTACCTACTTATCACGGAAAATCATCTTGCTTTGGGCAAACAAAGGATAAAAGCAACAATTTGCGACGATTTTCCAACAGCCACTTTTTTGGGAGGGGAAAATAGCAAAATGGTCGCTCAATGATCCCCAGGATCCCTGGACCATCATTTTGCGGCCAATTTGCGTTCTCAGCGCTCTTTGCATCGAGCTGGAGTCCAGCACAGGCCCAGGGATCCCAGGGCCAGGATTGGAGCTCTTTGGGAGGGATTCGCAGCAACAAACTCTATGGACAAAAACACATTTGTTGATGAATTTTCATGAAATTACTGTCGAAAAAGCATTAGGATAGTGATAACAGCCGTAACAATAGCAATGATGACAATATATAAATACAGCAATATGAAGTAACAACGGTTATGAATAATGATCACTCTGTTGCATTTCTTCATCCAATCTTCCAATTCCCAACACACCTTCTAGCCAAATTTGTGGCTTTCAGGTTGGAAGAGCCACGTGGCAATGGCTAAGACTTGGCTCTGCAGCGCGGAAGAAAACAAACTCGACTTTCTTTCGGGCCCAGGTCATCTCACTGGGGAGCGCTGGGGTACAGATGGTACTGTTCAAAAGGAGTTACTGCCACATAAACACATCCAGGATATTTCAGGATCATTGGTGCAAAATGCCTTGAAAAATCAGACAGTGTGTCGTGTGGTATCCTATTTTGAAGCTGTACCTAACTGTGAGCAGCGGATAGCAAAGCTCCGCACTGGACCTATTCTTGACAACTGTGGAACCTTTTTGAATAATCCTTGTGCCGCGCCACAAGACCGGGGACGACACTTTGCGCGAGCCTGCGCAGTCGCAATGCACATCAACATGTCACAAGAGCAATTTATGCAGAAATTTACAGGAAAAATGCCACGGCCCCACGGCCCCACAGCCGCCACGCAGACTTTGTGCGTGCCTGCGCAGTCGAAATGAAGATCAAAATGCCGGGGCCCAGGGTGAGCGCCTACCTTTTGTCAACCGCTTCATGGGTTTCCGCCCCAAGTTCACGTCGAGGGTAGGCGACAGGTCTCTACCCTGAGTCTCCAAAAATAGTAAATTTACTAATTTCAAAATTTACGTAAATCGAAAAAATTAGGTTTAAAAAAAGTTCAAAAAGTCAAGATTAGTAAATTGATTTAGGTATATACCTAAATCCATTTAGGTTTATACCTAATTTTTCTTCAGTTTTTGAAGCTATTTTTTTGTATGTTTTTTGTTGAAAAACATACAAAAATAGTTAACAAATGTTTGGGAAAATATAGTTTGTGAGATGGAACCAATGCATTTATGTTTATGATTTGTTCTTCTTTGGTGCAAGTTTGAGGTGTAAGTAAAATGCTCATGTAAGAAAGTAGCTCGCCATGCCCAAGTAACTTGTATATTCATTGAAGATGTTTTTAAGAAAACAAACAGGTGCATCCATGTCACCTAAGTCGCGGTAGGGAAGCACAGGATCAAATTTGAACCACAGCCTGATCCTTGCAAACACTTTTTTCCCAGGTAGATTGTGATAGTCAAGTAAAGACTTGGAAGGTACTGATTGCAATGATCGTAGCGGTTCTATACAAATGGCCTGCTGATTGCAAATGCTGACTTTGGACTAAGAATTTGAAGGATTTATTTGTTTTTCTAGGTCACAAGTAAGCCACAAGAAGCACAAGCAAGCCTCATGAAAGCACACTACTAACCCACAAGTAACTCATAAGTGTGTCCCACGAAAGTTCCAAAAGAATCCCAATAAAGTCATAAGTGAGTCCGAAATAAGTCTCAAGTGAGTCCCTATAGTAAGACACAACTCTTTCACAAGTAAGTTCCAAGGAAGTCCCAAGTGAGTCCCAAGTAAAACACTAGTACTTGACAAGTAAGTCCCAAGTAAGCCCAAGTAAGCACCTAGCAACCCAAAAGTATGTCACAAGTAACCCATAAGTAAACCACAAGTAACCCACAAGTTAGTCACAACTAACCCATGAGTAAGTCACAAGTAACTCACAAGCAAGTCAAAAATAGGAAACATAGAACAACCAAATAAGTCAGAAGTGGGTTGACATGCACAGGTAGGGACATGAAATATTATCAACCTGATTATTGTGAACACTAATGCATACTAATGCTACATTTGCCCTTGGATATAGTTATGCATTATGTTTGAACAATTTTATTCCATAAGATTGCAGGTTACTTGTGTTACTTGAGAACCTGGCAGGTTAGTTGTGTTGCTTGAGAACCTGGCAGGTTACTTGTGGGGCATGTCTTGAGACTGGTAGATCTTGCATTGTTTATTTTACTTGTGTTGCCACTTGGAGGAAATTGAAAACCTCTGCAGGTTACATTTGGGGATGTCTCAAAATAGGGGGGGCCCAAAGCTAAATTTTAAATACGAAAAAAAAAGGGTTTGTGCCCCCCCTATTTTGAGACATCCCTATTTTATTACTTGAGGATTTGCCAGATTAATTGTTTTATTTGTGTTACTTGCATTTTATGAAATATTTGGAAGATACTTCACAGATCTCCTGAACAGAAAAGAATACAAACAGGACAGTAGGTTTTGGTGTTTTTCATATCTATATATATACAGATTTATTATTCAACCTTAGTTCATTGAAAATCAACCGTGGTGATGCAATCCTTATGCCATGCAATCCTTATGCACTTTTTTTGCACTTCTTATGCACTTCTGATGCAATTCTTATGTATGTTACATGCACTTTTTATGCATCTTTAATGCACGGTGTATGCACTTTTTGGCACTTCTTTTGCAATCCTTATGCATTTTTTATGCACTTCTGATGCAATTCTTATGCATTTTTAATGCTTTTTTGCATTTTTAATGCGCTTTTTTTGCACATGTTATGCACTTTTGATGCACTTTTTATGCACTTTCTATGCACTTTATGAAAGTGCATAAAAAGTGCATAAGAAGTGCATAAAAAGTGCATAAGAAGTGCATAAAAAGTGCATAAGAAGTGCATAAAAAGTGCATAAGAAGTGCATAAACTTGCACAAAAAGTGCATCATGATTTTCTTCAAAAATTATTTTAAAAAAGTGGCAAACAAATGGATCAAAGCCAACAAGACCCACTGTGTTCTCTCAAAAAACCTATCTGGATATCACCAAGGTTGATTTTCAATGAACTAAGGTTGAATAATAAATATATATATATAAATATAAATATATATATATATCAGAGGTTTGTACGCAAATCTCCCTAACTTCTCAATGGTATGTGCCTGTCCCATTTTTTCAAAACCCGAAGATGGGCACATACCCCGGAGAAGGGCACTTGACTCTGAATCCTGCAAATATGCATGCAAAAGACCTGGTGCCCTTCTCAATGGTACGTGCCCATCTTAGATGGTCACTTGTCCTGAGATAGTGTGCAAATGAGCGAGAACCCTCATCCAGCCCTTCGACATATAAATAGATATCTGAAAAACACCAAAGCCTACTGTACTGTTTATATTCTTTTCTGTTCACGAGGTCTGTGAAGTATCTTCCAAATATTTCATAAAATGCAAGTAACACAAATAAAACAATTAATCTGGCAAATCCTCAAGTAATAAAATAGGGATGTCTCAAAATAGGGGGGGCCCAAACCCTTGTTTTTTTGGATTTAGAATTTAGCTTTGGGGCCCCCCTATTTTGAGACATCCCCAAATGTAACCTGCAGAGGTTTTCAATTTCCTCCAAGTAGCAACACAAGTAAAATAAACAATGCAAGATCTACCAGTCTCAAGACATGCCCCACAAGTAACCTGCCAGGTTCTCAAGCAACACAACTAACCTGCCAGGTTCTCAAGTAACACAAGTAACCTGCAATGTTATGGAATAAAATTGTTCAAACATAGTGCATAACTATATCCAAGGGCAAATGTAGCATTAGTATGCATTAGTGTTCACAATAATCAGGTTGATAATATTTCATGTCTTTACCTGTGCATGTCAACCCACTTCTGACTTATTTGGTTGTTCTATGTTTCCTATTTTTGACTTTTGACTTGCTTGTGAGTTACTTGTGACTTACTCATGGGTTAGTTGTGACTAACTTGTGGGTTACTTGTGGTTTACTTATGGGTTACTTGTGACATACTTTTGGGTTGCTAGGTGCTTACTTGGGCTTACTTGGGACTTACTTGTCAAGTACTAGTGTTTTACTTGGGACTCACTTGGGACTTCCTTGGAACTTACTTGTGAAAGAGTTGTGTCTTACTATAGGGACTCACTTGAGACTTATTTCGGACTCACTTATGACTTTATTGGGATTCTTTTGGAACTTTCGTGGGACACACTTATGAGTTACTTGTGGGTTAGTAGTGTGCTTTCATGAGGCTTGCTTGTGCTTCTTGTGGCTTACTTGTGACCTAGAAAAACAAATCAATCCTTCAAATTCTTAGTCCAAAGTCAGCCTTTGCAATCAGCAGGCCATTTGTATAGAACCACTACGATCATTGCAATCCGTACCTTCCAAGTCTTTACTTGACTATCACAATCTACCTGGGAAAAAAAAGTGTTTGCAAGGATCAGGCTGTGGTTCAAATTTGATCCTGTGCTTCCCTACCGCGACATAGGTGACATGGATGACCTGGTGTGGAAGGAGGTGTAAAACCAACAGCAAAAACTTCAAAAAAAAACAAAACCAATCAAAAAAGTATGATTTTATATATGTGAAAAACATGACAAATAATAGGTATATACCTAAATCAATTTAGGTATATTTACTAAGCTAAGTAAAAAATAATACGTAATTTTTTCGACCTAAATCCAAAAATTTACGTAAATTTTTGCTCACCTAAATTTTACTATTTTGGGAGACTCAGGGTATATCAAGCGTTTAGGGACATGTAAAGATTCACAAGCGGGGGCTTTTAAACAAGGGCTTTTGGAACTTCCAACTTTGAAAACTGGTTCCAGGCCGGAAAATCCTTGGCGGCGGGCTCTCCCATTGTTGGAAAGCGGATTTGCAATCAGTGCTGAGGGTTTTCACTGCTGTGAGGGAGTTCAGCACCCGTGAAGGACAACCTTTTCACGCTCGTTTTCTCCTCCAGGGGGGTGTGCGCCATGCTTTCGCGTCTCCTTCTAAATCGGTGCGCCACCTACGCAAAGGACATACTGGAGTTCCTGAAGACTGGTGATAGTGCGGACCGATTGTATTCGTGCAAAGCACTGCTAGAACTATCTGGCAAAGGGCTCGGAAGATTCCAAGATGCTGCTGTTTACAATCTGATGCTGGTGGCAACAAATCATGTCGTCGTGAATTATCCTGTTCACCCAGAAGTTCGTGAAGAAGCCATTGAAGCCCTGGCATGTATTCTCCCTTCTGGGCGCGGCTCGAAAGTATCCCTATTTATACCGCCTTAGACGCTTGCAGACTTCTGGAGATGAGTTTGGCGTCAAGCTGGCTTCTTTGATTTCTCAGCTGGATGATGCAAACGTGAAATTCATTGATGAACCTGCCAATGATGGTGATGATGATGGGGTGGAGACTGCTGCGCCCACCGTGGTGATGTG